ATATATATATATATATATATATATATATATATATATACACAGAGGAAAAACAACAACACACATTTGTTTTTTACATTCGCAAACTTGAAAGTAAAATTTTTCATGGTAGTAAAGTAATAATACTATAAATATTATGTAGTAATATTGATTATAGCAATATTATACATTTTATTTAAGGATTTTTTTTGGTCACATACTTTTCATAATTGGCCAAAATATTTTTGAGATAAAAATAATACCCAGGTATACACCTTCAGAATCCCCTTTCTATGTGAGCAAAGTTTCAGGTCTCCTTAGCCATCCTTTCAGCTGTGAGGGAATTAAATCAATGAATGCCTACCCTGTTGTTTAGTTATAAATAACCATGTAGGTGGTGTATCCCCCTGACATATTGCAATTTCTGTGGTCAGCACTGACTGTACTTGAACTTTGGTGTATCTGACTTGGTTGCTTAGCCGAAGTGTCACATTTGGTGCTATTCAGATTGAAAGTATCAATATGTAGTGATCATTTCCAAAACTTAAAAAGTTTTGAAACCTTCTATTACATTTCAATTATATAGTTTTTCTGTTACGAGTTATTACTCTTTATACACAGTGACTAGCCATCCTTACTCAGCATTGCCTGGGTATTACCTGAACAGAAGGCTGATGTTTAGCTATTTTAAACAGAAAGGATCAAAATTTCACTTCATGCGTTAATACATGTCAAATGCATAAAGTTACTAATACTGAAAAGAAAGACATACTGTTTTCAAGCATTCTATGAATATGAAATTAGTAAGACAAACATTTAAATATAATCATTTCTGCCAAGAATATGAATTCTAATAATTTTATATGTTTTTTTTAAACCTTGTTACAAAATTGTTATTATTATTCAACACTTATTCCTTAACAATTTGTTGTACCAAGTGATAGATGGCAGCATATACTTCTCTCTTTTTATGGTTTAAGGGCAACATTATAGGCCAAAAAATTAACCAAAATTGTTTTGAGAAAAAAATATTCAGGTGCACACCCTCTGAATTCTCTTAGTATGCGTGCAAAGTTTCAGATCTCTGAAGCTATTTTATTATCTATGATACATGTGTGTGGTAATGTATTAAACATGCTTAATCTGTTGGGAGTGAAAAGTTTGAAGTGTAGAATTTTTATGTCTGGAGACAATAATTTCATTGAATGGAATAGTGAAAAACAGTTAGTAAAAAGGTTAAGCACACGTGATTTGAAACTCCGCAACAACTGTATAGCACTTTATCAAACAGAATGACATTTAATAAAACGAGTCTAGTTGAGAATGTCTAGTTGATAAAACTTTCAATCTTAAAATCATTTAAAATATGTGGATACCGTATGAAGAGGATGTTTTTTATTTCCCCAAAAAAGGGGCTGAATGCTGCCTGAAGGTGGTCATCTGTTTTAACCACTCACACCATTATACAGTAGTGTGTTGTCTGTCAGTCAGTCAGTAGTCGCTAAAATAATGTCACATAAGGGACACTTAACGTTGCAATTTGTACTGTCGTGATGACAGTAAAACTTGTGCATGCCATGATTCACAAGAAGAATTATGCACTCTGTAGGTTACAACACAGTATGAAATATGAACTTCA